GCCGTTTCCCCTTCGCTCCTCAACTGCCCGCCAACAGGGCTGGAGCCAAATTTGAAATTTTTCGAAAGGGCTGTCCAGTGAAACGTCCATCACAAAGGGCTTGCGAACCGGGCCATTGATCTTCCTATGTTGGGGTGATCACAACTGTCTATATTCTTCTCTCAACTTCTGTTTTTGTTTACCTTCCACTACCTACTCCTAACAAAGGGAAGAAGCCCTAATCTATATCTTGATTGAAATATAAATATATATATCATCATCGAACCCGGCCAGTGAAATATCGTCTCAAAAAATCCAGCGGCCTAGCTCAGTTGGTTAGGCATGCAAGTGGCATTCAGGAGGTGGTGGGTTCAAGCCCCATGGCCGCCTGCGGCGCACTTAGTGCGAACGGACTGTGATAGTCCTCTGGATACCCCTGATCGGTATTAGCGGGGTATATGACCAACACGGGTGTGAGTGTGAGCGCGAATGGGTTGTGTGTGGTGTGTGGGAGAGTGTTGGCCATAGCCTCTGCTGCTACTCGATGAAGGGTGGGGGACGATGAGAAAGGGAGGCACAGCTACTGGCAGGTCTCGGTCTTTGTGTTAGCCAGACCCCCACTGGCGGCCCCAACCCTATACCCTAACCATTAGGGGGCGAGGGGCAACATGAAATCTCCCCTTCACAGAGAGAGGAAAACTATGCTTGCAGGGGTCCCCTCTAGATAGTCTTAGGAGTAGGTAGTGGAAGGTAAACAAACAGAAGTTGAGAGAAGAATATAGACAGTTGTGATCACCCCAAAAAATATATATATATATCGTCTCAAAAATTCCAAAATTGAATTGTGGACCGACTGGCCCCCCACGCATTTCGTAAAATCGTCTCAAAATTGAAAGCGGCCTTGAAATATCTCATCATGGAAGAATGAAATAGCAGCAATTTGCAGCGAGTTCCAGCGGCAATTGGAATTCCGGTCAGCATTTCGAGCTCGGGCAGTTGATGGGATGGGTGTACCAACTGAGCTAAACCCGTTGCTCGGCCGTTGGTCTTCCTTTTTTTTTTTTTCTTTTTTTTTTTATATAATGTGCAGTCAGAAGGGAAGCATACGGCACAGCACGTCACTGGCGCGAGGAGTTGCAAGAGAGCCGGCGTGTGAGGTACCTCACCTGTCCCCACAAGGCTGTCTGCGGGCATGTCTCTCACAAAGAGCTGGGCGACCCCGATATCGCTCAACTTGGGCACCATATTTGAGTCCAGCAGGATGTTCGCGGTCGTGATCCCTCCATGAATGACCCTCACCCAGGCCTGTGTGTGCAAGTAGTGGATCTGTGTTTACAGCAGAACAACAAATCACTCAGATTATATTGCAGCAAAAATCATGAGCCAAAACTTTCTTTCCATCCTCCATTCAAGGAAAAGAGCAAAATGTACCTCTGCCCCAAGGTAGCCTCACTTTGGCCCACCGTGGCACCTTTAGGCCAAGAGTGCGTCTTTCACCAAAATTAACACACCTTTTCGGCCCAAGGTGACAACTTTAGCCTTTTGTTGTCCCTCTGCCCCAAGGTAGCATCACTTGGGCCCAAGGTGGCACCTTCCTCTGCCCCAAAATAGCCTCGCTTTGGCCCAAGGTGGCACCTTTGGGCCAAGAGTGCGTCTTTCACCCAAATGAACACACCTTTTTGCCCAAGGTGACAACTTTAGCCTATGGTTGTCCCTCTGTCCCAAGGTAGCCTCACTCGGGCCCAAGGTCGCACCTCCCTCTGCCACAAAATAGCCTCGCTTTGGCCCAAGGTGGCACCTTTGGGCCAAGAGTGCGTCTAGCCTCACTTTGGCCCAAAGGTGGCACCTCCCTCTGCCCCAAGGTAGCATCACTTGGGCCCAATGTGGCACCTTTAGACCAAGAGTGCGTCTTTCACCAAAACGAACACACCTTTTTGCCCAAGGCGACAACTTCACCCTATGGTCGCAAAGGGCTCCAGAAGGCACCAGGCGCTTCCATCTCGGGGGTCAAGAATAGTTGAAAGATCTACTTTCTATGGTCGTATTCATACTTCAGCGCCTCCATACTGGTAGTTCACATGTTCGGTGCTCACTGTTCAAGCACAATGACATCTTTTAGCCCCAGGTGCCAGCTTTAGCCTATGGTTGCAAAGGGCTTCAACAGGTACTCGGCGTTTCCATCTAGGGGGCGGGATGTAGTTTGAAGATATACTTTTCTTTGCTCACATTCATATACTCGTACAACTCCGCACTAGTCCACATTTCCCTTGCTCAAGCAAAATGACACCTTTTAGCCCAAGGTTACAACTTTATAAGTTTATATAGCCTATGGTTGCAAAAAGGGCTCCACAAGACACCAGGCAGGCGCTTCCATCTAGGGGCTCACCAGGCAGGCGCTTCCATCTACAGGGGTCAAATGTAGTTTGAAGGTATAATTTCTTCGGCCCCATTCATACTTTTACGCCTCTGAACTACTGTCTTCACCTGAATAGAACGCCCGGTAATTATCGCTGCATCTGGACCGAAATATGTGCCAAATACAGCTATAATGAGCGGGCGTTCTATTCGGGTGAAGAAGGTAGTTCACATTTCCGCTGAAATGGAAGCGAAGAGGGAGGCAAATCCTTATGGCGATTGCAAGCCTCTGTCGTTCGGAGACGGATATGACTTCGTGTGCCTGTCCCGAGAACAAATTAAAATAAAAAAATTACAACCACAAAAAAAGAAAACAGAAAGACTTACGGGGATGGATGATGGCTCCTTCAGTTCTTTTCCTTCACTCCTTCAGTTTCCGTCACAAAATAAAAAATACAAGGAAAAACTGAGCAAAAAATAAAAATAAAAATAAATAAAATAAAATAAAAATCAAGAATTATAACAAGGGCCCACTCTCCCCATCATGTTTGGAGATCACATACCATCATCTTGTCCCAAAACATCTTACCAAGCCTATACCTTCTTCTCCCGAATAGAACAACCGGTCATTATAGCTGTATTTGGTGCAACTTCCAGTCCGGATACAGCCAAAATGACCGGGCGTTCTATTCAGGTGAAGACGATACAAATTATCTACTTTCTTTTCTAGTTGGAACATGGAGATGATCAGATGAAGCTTCTAATCATCAATTCCCATTTGCCAAGTGGCTACAGTCTTCCCCCGAATACAATGTACGGTCATTATAGCTGAATTTGGGCGTCTTTCAGTCTAAATACAGCTAGCTAAAATGACCGTGTGCGTTGTATTCGGCGGAAGAAGGTAGCCTATATTTCCACCTTGTTGCTCATATTAAGGAGGGCTATTATTTCATAATAGGAAGGGCTATCCCTAATTTGTATCCCGTACCCACCCTACTGACTGCCTTAGGAGCATATAAGCCCCAGTCCACTAAGGTCCTGTAAAGCATCTCTGCACCTGAAACCCTCATCAGACACATACTCCAGAAGACCTTATTATATTAACCACCCACCCTATCTCTACTCCCACCCACTTCTCCACGTCCAGCACGCTGAGAGCAAGAGGACCTCTGAATTTCAGAAGCCGTTGCACGCTGGAGACAAGACGGTGACGAGGTCTCAAGGGCCTTTTGTTCTGTTGTCAAGCGTTGGCCTGTACGATCTTCACCCGAATAGAACGCCCAGTCAATTATATCCGTATTTGGGGCGACATCCAGTCTAGGTCCAGCGACAATGACAGGGCGTTCTAGACGACAGTTCACCTTGTCGCGTCTTGTGCACTACCCTATAACTTCCGCTCCCACCCTCTTCCTTTACTTACAACACACTGAAATCAAACTACCGTCTTCCGCCGAACATAACCCACCCCGAACGTAATGAATGCATACAAGCTAACTTTCCAGTCTGATACAGTCAAAAAAAATGAAAATGATGGTGCGTTGTGTTCAGGGGAAGACGGTTGCCTACTTTTTTCGTTCAAACCCGTCGTGCACTTGGAATGACGGCAAAGTCTTAAAGTCTCAATCCCCCTCAGTTTTGTTGTCAAACCTTTGCCACAATAGTCCCCTTCCTTTTTCTTTTTTCCCATTTTTTTTTCTTTTTTTTTTCTTTCATTTTTGTGTGTGTGGGGTTCGGCGGACCACGGATTAGATACTTAAGTAATGATCAGAACAGAAACTACACTTTATCTATTTTTAGCCAAAACGCCGCCTTGCTGTTCTTTTTGCAGGCTTCTTTTTTTTAAATAACCTTCCAGTTGTTAAGTTGGTCACGTTGTTCAAACTTCAAATCAGACAAGTCTCTCTCTCTGTGTGCCGACTTTGCCACTCTTCCGCTTACCCAGTCAATTTCCGGTGAAGCGTTCTCTCTCATTTTCCTCATTCCTTGACTCACTCTATCATTTACCCATAACTATCTTGCTCATTCCGCACCTAACTTCGCAAGGAGCTTACAGAGCACCCATGTGATGTCACTATCTACTTCACTCCGCTCCAAAAAGCTCAGAGATAACGAAGCCACAGACAGAGTTCCGATTCAGACTCGTCTCAACCAGCTATGGCCGCAACTTGATCGTACACACACAACTCTCGATCTCCCTGGATGTCCTCCCCCCCCCCACACACACATATACTACACGCTAGCACTAAGCTATGGCAGCTATGGCTGCCTCCACTACACTAACCACACAAGTGGATATGGCCGCATCTTCTCCCTTTCATCCCACTTCTCATTCGGGCACCTACAGACCTCCTTGCACAAGACGCTCAGGCAGCGCTTCCGCACGGCTCACAGGCAGAATAAATGAATTCGTTGACGCTGCCTCTTGATTTCTACTTCTCACTGTCAATGGTCTGCCCTTGCGCCCGCCCCCCGGGGTGCACACAGTCCCACATGGTACTTGCTGGCTTGACAAAGTGTGCCCGGGACTGTGTACCGCTGACTGGGAAGAGTTAGTCTGCCCACTTGCCCACTTGCCCACTTGCCTACGGCCTACCTGCTAAGACCTACGAAAGGTCGCTTCCAGAAGCTCCGGAAGGCTGTCAACTTGACCCTACAGCACTGTAGCAGCTACGACCTTGACTCTTGGGGAGTGCAGCAGCTACGACTCCTATCACTGCCAAGATTCCTAACCTACAGACCTACTGTTCAAGAACCGACCACCACACTACCTACAGCAAGCAACAGGCGGCTTCCACGACACAGGTCGCGGGTTCAAGCACACAAGGGTCAACCGATACTGTACACGGGTAAGGGCGAGGTCTGGGGATCGAGTCCTCGGAGCTGCATCTGCTACCGCAAAGGTGAAGACCGTCTCATATGCTGTTCCTGCCGCAGTCTCACGCCTTGAATGATACATGTTACATACACAAATCTTACCCGCTGATAGCAGATCATGAGTTCAGATCCATGCAGTACGCCAGTTGGTTCGCCTTTGAAAGGTGGCCCAAAATAAAGATGACCACCTTTGAAATAAGAAAGCACATACCCCTTCACCCGTGCCAAGAAGAGTGTTCGTTCGCAATGTGAGGCACATGTTCGAACGTCGAACTGTCGGATAGCGTATTGTGTCACATGTCTGACTAAGCAATTAGACATGCAGGGAAGGCCGAGGTCGATCCAGTCGGTAAGGGTGTGAAAGAGAAAAGCAGAGTGGGAGACCCAACAAGACACACAGACCAGTGCAAGACATGCAATACACCCAAACGACAACGTGGGCACAGAGTCCAGTCGCACACCTGTGGGAAGGAGAAACTACATCGACAAAAAAAACGAAGACGAGGAAGAACTAAGGATGTGGCAATGTCGATAAACAATACCTCTTCCTCCTCGAATAATTGCCTCCAACAAAGTGTGCCTCGGATCTCTGTCTGGAAGAGTAACACTCCAAAAATATTGTACCATAGCCCTCTCTCTCTCTGTCTGGAAAAGAAGAGAAAGAAAAGAAGAAAAAGAAGAAAAAGAAAAAGTAAAAAAAGAGTATTTGGCAATTTGCACATGGTACATACCCCTTTTGCTGTGCCAAGAAGGATATTCATTCGCAACCCCCAAGTGATAAGACGGGCCTGGGTTTGCTCACCTGGAAACAGCACACAACCAGACAATACAAACGATGATATCAGAACAAACAACACCCTGAAAAGAAGATGATGTCACAGTCACAGAAAACCATAACCTTTAGGAGAAATTAGGACCCCTGCTTGTATAACTATATTCCGTTTTTAGTACTTTTTAGTATTTACCATGGAACGCAAAAATACCACTTATCTTCTAGTTTATCATTCGTTTTTCTATTTTTAATTTAGACAACAACATAAGTGTGAGGAATGAGCCCCCGCAGGGCCCTTATCAGACATGCACATGTTCTGGGCAGACGGACTCAGCAAGCCCTGTGCCCGCCCTAAGTGAAGGCGCGCCTGAATATTCACGAGCAGGCCAAAATTTGACATTTTTCCATATGTGGGTACTCAGGCAGTTGCAGCACGCCAGTTGGTTGCAAGGGAATGTGAGCCTCTCGGCTCTTTCCGGAAAATACATGCTGCGCCGTACAGTTACGCCGGGGCACACACCTTGCCAGGCAGATACATCACGACGTGGCCATGGGCCTGAGAGAAAGCAGCATTGTCGATGTGCTTGCCCCGGGGTTCATGGCGAATGCAGCAAACGGGGTCTGGAAATACTGGCCGTCACCAATTGTAACGGGCCCAGGCCCTCAACTGCAGAGCTGGGCCCTGGAGCAGGCACTGAGGCCCGACCGGAAGCTACTGGAAGCTTTTCCCACCCAGGCCACACACAGCCGAAGGGAGGCTGCCACTTCCATATAGGGAAGGAGGCAGCCAGGGTCAGGATTCTGGCCCACGCAGGCATTGTAGTCACGCTGCAGCGTTGCTGCGCGATAGGCTGCGTGCTGCGTTAGCGGCCAGGGTGCGTGCGGACGCTTGTGAGGTGAGAGGGGCACTGCTGGGCAGCGGAGTTCAAGCAGCCAGAGCCCGGCATGAGTTCATTGTATTGCTCTTATTTGGATGGAATCTCGGTGCATTTGTGCTCTCTGCTTGTACACGACTACTTGGACATCTGTGTGATTTCGCAACTTGGCTTTCTGTATATCATTCTCACTCATATTCCTTACATAAGCTTCAACCGCCAGCCGTCCTTCGGGACATCCGTTAAAATTGGAACGATACAGAGAAGGAAGATTAGCATGGCTATCCAGCGGCCTAGGTCAGTTGGTAAGGCACGCAAGTGGCATTCAGGAGGTCTTGGGTTCAATCCCCATTGGCCTCATGTACCTTCCTGGGCATGCTTGGGCCCGCCACCTAGTTATAACCCGTTGGTCCCCCCAATTGGCATTAAAAAGCAGTCTCTGCTGATGTTCATAGGGGGAGGGGTACTCAGGGAGGCACAGAGACTGGCCACTCAGATGATGCTCGGTCCCTCTGCTACCGGCTGTCCCCTGGCCGGTGCCCCCCAGTGAGGGATCCCTGAAGGCTATCAGGCCACCCTGGGCTGAAAAGGCCACCGTTGTCAGATTAGACACAAGATTGAATTTACCTGGGCTGGTTACTCCGATGATAATACCTCAAGGCCATTGCCCTTTAAAAAAAAAGAATAAAAAAAAAGAGTAGCATGGCCCCTGCGCAAGGATGACCGCATAAATCGAGAAGTTCAACCGCCAGTTCACCCGAGTCAGAAAAGGCCTCTTAACACTACCAGTGTACGCGGTAAGAGCTTTGGATTCGGGTCTGGGCGGGTCGGTAGTGAACGCGGCAGGGCGACCTTGGAAAGCCGCAGTCTCAGGCTCACTAGCCTTAAAACGTAGCTTCGTAAACTTTGGCTCATGTGAATGGGTGGTCACCAGTACCTTTCCCATATGTCGACCGCGGGCGTTGCGAGCCGGCCTGAAAATCAAGACTGGCCGCCAATTCGATTTATCGGCGGCCGCCTTTCCGTTTCAGGCCAGCGCATTACCCGGCGCACCTCTAAAAAAATTGCTGGGAAAGGTACTGGTGGTTTAACCTTTAACCCACTAGTACCTTTATCGTTTCGGAAAATAGCCGCCCTCCGACCTTTCAGGAGGCCGAAACAAAACAACGGTCGCCGATTAGATTTTTTATCAATGGCAGCTGTCGTCAGCCCTGGCCTCCGAATTCTTCGGGAACGGGCGTTTTCCCTCATTTCTGAAGCGGCAACGGTGCTAGTGGTTTAAGGACAAACTTTATATCACAAAATAAGGTGAAGGACAACCTGGATGGTCCCGTGTTTGATACGACAAAACAAACTCATTGTTCCTGCCAATAGATGGGCCTTGAACTCACGACTTGAGTCAGCATTCCATGCAAAAAGATAAGGATGGTAGTGAGGGAGATGCAAGCGGACAAGTTTGTATAAGGTGCAAACCAACAGCTGCAAGAGTACGCCAGGTAACATGACTGGACCCCCTGGAAAGGCACAAAGCGCTCTTGATGGACTTGCAAAAGAATGGTTTACTCACTTAGCACCTCCTTTGTTCTTCAGCAAGGGCGCTCCGCGCCGGATAAAGCTACCGACATTGTACAAGGCCGCTTTTTTATCTTCAAAACAGTCCAAGAAGCTATGCAGGTCATACCGGAGAGATTGATCTACGAAGAGAAATTTCTCGATTGCGGTCATGCTTCTCAGGTGTCCTTCGGGACATCCGTTAAAATCGGAGCCATACAGAGAAAGAGAGATTAGCATGGCGCCCTGCCCAGCAGGGATGACACACATAAATCGAAGAAATGGTCCAAAAAAAAAAAAAAAAAAAAAAAAGTCATGCTTTTCAGCCTGGTAGAGGCAGGTGCAATCAGACTCGCCTTTCCTTTACTTAGCATGCATGCGAACAGATGGCAAACCACACTGGCGCCAGGCGCCCACACAAAGCTCAGAGATATTACAGCCGAGAACACAGTTCAGATACAAACTCGCTTCGAATTGGCTATGGCGCCTGAGCGCCTACACCTCACTCTTCCGACTCTGTATTCATAGCAAACGTTCACATGCACTCTCACTCTGGACATTCCTGGATGTCCCACGCACACTCACTCTGTATCGTACACACACACACAAGCACACTGAAAACTAACTCTAAGCTATGGCGGCTATGGCCGCCTTCTACCACTAACTACACGCAGCGATGGCCGCTCTATCTTCCTCGCAGCCCACTTCGACTTCGGGCATCTGCAGACCACCTCGCACAAGACGCTCGGGCAGCGCTTCTGCATGGCGCACAGCAGAATGAATGAATGGCTGGGCGCTGCCTCTTGATTTCTACTTCTGTTGGTCGCTGGTCTGCCCTTTTCCAGCGGGCCCATGGTGCACACAGTCCCACATGGTACTTGCTGACTAGACCAAGTGCGACTGGGACTGGGTACCGCTGACCAAGCAAAGTTGGACTTCCTACTTGCTCACTTGCCTCTGGCCTAACGTGTGAAACTCTCGAAAGGCCACTTCCGGACCTTCCGGAAGTCTGTGGACTTGGCCTTTTGGAACTGTAGCAGCTACGATCTTGACCTTCCAGACTTGTAGCAGCTACGACCTTGGCCTTTCAGAATTGCAATAACTACGACCCCTACCCAGCTATGACCCCTACTCGACAGGGACTACGGTTCAAGACCCGACAGCTACACAGACCTATGACAGACAACAGTCGGATACCAAGACACAGGTCGCGAGTTCAAACACACAGGGTCGACGTGATACTGTACACGGTGGGGTAAGGTCTAGGGATCGAGCCCTGGGATCTACATCTGCTACTACAATGGTGAAAACCGTTTCACAGGTGAGGCTGAGAAGAGACGCAAAATGAACCCAGATGGGGCATCATGACTGTTACAGCAATTAGCATTATTAGTAATTTAAATAAATTTTATTTATCTGATTCCATCCGGATTTGTATTAACGAGTTGATTACACTTGTTGGAGACAACGCTGATGAACTCGGATACCATCAGGCACATGGACAAGGTGACATCGCCGACCTTTTGATCGACAAGTCAGGTCACAAGCTCCTTGTGTCAGATCGCAAGTTCCAGCCCACTGGCAAGAGCGCAAGAGGTATGCCATGCCGATGATGTGCCTGATCCTTTGTTGACAAGAGGTTGTGCGCTTACCAGTGGGGGTTCGAGCTTGTAACCTCACTTGACTTGTCGATCAACGGGGCAAAGAAAAATAGACTGCTCAGATCCTAAGGGAACAACCCCTTTGTTGAAGTCAGAAGAGGTTAAATGTACCGCTGTGATTGAGACCCAGAAACAGCGATTTCATTGAAATGGACATGAATCTACATGATATTATAGTTTTTTATCAAAATTGAAATCTCATTTTTTGGCAAAAAATTCATGGAGTTGAGGGTTAGGAGTGTTCTGAAAATGCGCTAACCCCTCGATGCATCGGAACTTAGCTGAAGTGCACATACGTCCAAGGGGTCTGGCGTTTTCCGGTCTGGATGTATGTGGACTTCACAGCTAGGTTCAGATACATCGAGGGGATGGGGCATTTTCAAAACGAACCGTACCCTCAATTTCATGATTTTTTTGGCCAAAAAATTATATAATTATATTTCAATTTTGTTCAAAATACATGACATGTCCAGAGGTTCTAGCCTATTATCAGCAGACGTACGGCCACCATCCAGCCTTCCAAGTCTAGCAGTCTAGAAGGCCCAAAGGGCCGGTACTTACCTGTGGCCGTGGCATTGAGGGTTGCAGCGGGGTAAAACACTCGAGTGGGGGGGAAGGAGGCACGCGACACTTGAAGCAGCGGAAAAACACTCGAGCAACAGGTAGGCTGGTACCATACCAGGTAGAGGTATCTGTGCCGGGTATTCGAGGCCGAGCAGAAGAAGACAAAGTTGGCATTTCTAGAGGCCCAGTAGTTGTAGGCTAGGTCTAGGCGGGTACCAGTCCAACCCCTCTGACTCTAGGTCCTGTACTCAGAGGGGTTGCAATATCAGAGTCTGCAATGATGTTTCTCTCCGAAAGGGAGGACGCACTGGTTGTCTGGAGGCCGTACAGGCCCTAGAGGCATTACGGCATGTACGGCCTCCAAGCAACCAGTACGGCC